ATTATTAATTACTACTACTACTACTACTACTACTACTCCTCCTCCTACTACTACTACTACTACTACTACTACTACTGCCACTACCATTCCCACCACCTCAAACCAATACAACTACCACTACCACTACCAGACTACCACTACCACGGCCATGACCATGACCACCACAAGCAAGAGCACGAGCACAACGACCACGACCACGGCGACCACCACCACTACAACAAACCACAGCATCATCCAAGAAATCCTTTGCACTGCGAAGACATGACACTCTGCACAAACCCTCTGCAAAAGATCAAATCGCTTGACTCTAGACCCCTTGAGCCCCAAACCCTAAACCCTAAACCCCTTGCAGGGCGCCGGTCGCAACCCTCTGCCAAAGACCAAATCGCAAGACTCTAGACCCCTTGAACCCCAAACCCTAAACCCCTTGCAGGGCGCCGATCGCTCGGAAGGCCAGGTGGCACGGCTTGAGGGCCTTGACCTGTCGCAAGATGCGTGATAAAGCCAAAATGAAAGCAAGGACCCTTGGGTTTCGTGTTTACCGAATAGGGTTTAGGGTTTAGGCTAGGGTTTAGGGTTTAGGGTTTAGGGTTTAGGGTTTAGGGCTTAGGGTTTAGGGGTTAGGGACACCTACCAAAGTAGGCAAAAACCATGGCCCAATACCTACAAAGACCTATTATTCTACGGACTTTTGGGTTTCGTGCTTAGAGCTCAAAGGGGTTGAGCCAAAGCCTTGAACCCGCCTCTGCCGTGGCTCGAGGGCGAAATGGACAGACATTTCGGTTTAAGGTACTAGAGCTAACTGATCTTTTCGATGTCTTTTTGGCCACAACTCTGTTGCCGAGTTCGAGAACCCTCAATCACTATGAAACAAACTCATGCACGAGACCCCAACTTTAGGGAATGAGGTATGGGGAGTGGCAACCCTGACGCAAAGGCCCGATAAACCCTTAGCCTGAAAACCTCAACCCTACACCCTCAGCATTCCCCCGGATACCCTTTAATTTAACGTACCCCTATAGAACCCCCGTGAGGTACCTTATATGTACACTCACCGAAACGGTAGTGAATGCACATCCTACTTCAACCCCATAAACCCTAAACCCCTAAACCCTAAACCCCTAAACTATTAAACAGAACGAACCCCAAAACTCTGTTCACCTTTGCTTAGGAAGTAAGCTACGACGACAATAGAAGAAGATCCGAACAAAAAGACACCATAATCCAAAAGAGAAAAACAATAGCAAGGCACCCAAAAACCGTAAAAACATCGCAAAGCCTTGTGTGTGGAAAAACTGGACCCCCACAGCGTTCCTTTCTGAAACCCTAAGCCCTAAGACACTAAAACCCCTAAAACCCTAACAAAGGCCTCGCCGTCAGAGAGTTTGACCTCCCAGCGACCGCTTTCCTCGTCGAAACGGAAAAGCCTGGGTGAGGCTTATATGGATTTATAACCGCGTTGGACCTTTTTAGTACAATGTAGGGTTTATAGACTAGGAGTTACTATCATGGGGAAGTATGCCCCATAACAATACCTAGGACCCTCTGGAAAATGCTTATTGGGTATTGGGGGGTTTGGGTTCAGATTAGGGTCTAGGACTGGGCTTTTCGGCCGTGGGCTTGCGGGTTTGCATGGGGTTTTAGAAGGGGTCTATAAGGGTTCAACTGGTGCGTTCGGTTTGGGTTCTAGGGTTGAGAGTGTTTCAAGTTCATGACTAGGTCACGTGACTTGCCCGGGCTAGCTTCGAGAGTCGCATCCTGCAGAAACCCAGAGAACCCGATACCCCTTAATTAAGGAATATACCTTAAACCATAATATTAGGGCCCCTATAATTTAAGCCCTGGTTCCAAATCGACCCAAAGCAGTTTAAGTCTAAGGTTCAGGGTTAGGGTTTTAGCAACCTACCCAAGGGCTCCTATGTATATAGTTCCTTTTGGATAGTATACTAGAATACCTTACCACAAAAATAACAAACCCAAAAGGGAACTACATTGGAGCCTCTGGGTAGTTTGAATGTTGAGAACAGGTGCCTGGATCAGATTCCTACGGCATGCTTCAGTGCCCATGGCGATCAGTCAATAAGGGCTCCGAAGCAATGCTTGTAGCTCCTTATGCCCCTAATCACATCAAAATGACAAATGACATCACACGCAGAAACAACAATAGTCCCAACGTGGCCATGGTGCGAGCACATCATGCCGTTCATCTCCGTCGCCTGTCGAGGTGGTGTCGTTTGCTGGTGACTTGCTTATAGCTTGCATGTGGGTAGTTCTTCGAATTAGGGTCCCTTTTGAAATGCCCGAAATAGCACGGCACGCTTATAAACAGGACCCTAAAAGGGATCCTAATTTTGAAAACTATCCATGTGCATTCTGAGCTTGAAGTGGTCCTGAGAGCTCCTTTTGTCTGAATTTAGCAGCGTGGCGTCATCCTTCGACCGAGTATGCGGACTAGAATACCACGAAGATGCGTCACAAAGAGCTACACTGTCTGCAGTTTGGGGTCATGAAGGACCATCAGTGACCCCTAAACCCTAAACCCAAGGAAGGCTTTCGGAGGCTCGAACTCAGGTGCGTAGAAAGACCCCTGGACCCTAAATCCCAAAACCTCCAAACCCTAAACCCAAAACCCCAAAACCCCTAAACCCAAACGCCTAAACCCCAAACCCTCATCCCTCAACCCTAAACCCCTTCTCAACCCTAAACCATGAGCCTAAACCCAAAACCTCTAAACCCTAAACCCAAACCCCTAAACCCTCAACCCTCAACCCTCAACCCTAAACCCCTTCTCAACCCTAAACCATGAGCCTCAAAACTCCCCGGGCTCATGAAACCCCTGGGCTCTCTCTTGAGGCTCCTGAACCCCACACCGTGCACGTAGTAAGTAGGGTTAGAAGTTCCTTACTCTGAGGTAGAAGTACCTTAATTTGGGGGGGGTATAGGTACCGTAATTTTGGTGGTTATTATAGATACCTTACTTTGGGGTTATGAATACCTTACTTTTGGGTTATAAGTAAATATAAGTGTAGTTGCCTTACTCATAAGCCTAGCTACTAAGTCCCATGACCCTTTACGTGTATAGTAACGCCCCCCAACAGTTGGAAACCGGATAAAGGCCAACTAGTGCTGGGATTCCCTGCGCATTAAACCCTAAACCCTAAACCCTAAACCCTAAACCCTATTACTGCCCTTAAGGATTGAGGTTGTTGGGTTTCCAACTTTTGGGCTTCTCCTGAAACAGTATCAAAAGGCCCTAGAAACCCTAAACCCTACAAGCCTTAAACCCTGTAAACCCTGTCAACCCTGAACCCTATAAACCCCATAAGCCCTATAAGCCCTATCAACTCGACAAGCCCCAAAAAACCCATAACCGCTATAAGCCCTATAGCCCCAAAACCCTAAACCCCAAAACTCTAAAACCCTAAACCCCAAAACCCGAAACCCTAAAACCCTAAAACCCCAAAACCCTAAAACACTACAAACCCCCAAAACCCTAAACCCCTAAACCCCGTCTCCTACTGTAAGAAACCCTAAACC